AGAAAAAAAAATTGAAGCAATCTTAGAAATCTCCCTTTTTTACTTGCCTTAGTGAATATTTCTGAGGACTAGACAGTACAGTTGCCTGTACAAGTCCATTCAGAGTTGATTATTTTATGTTTAAAATCTTTATCATAGTGAGTCACAAATATTTTTAAAGTAACCAAAATTTAAAGCTACTCTGGGCTACGTGATAGGAAAGGAAATACATAAAATCTATTTTTTCCAAAAGTTTTAAAAGACAACAAAAGGCTTCCATAAACAGAGACCTTTTGTGTGAAAAGTAATGGCTGTTCACTTTATTTTTTTTCAGACTAAGGATATACACATGCATATAAGTGTACATCTTGCTTGTTCTGACATGATAAAATCACTGAAGGCTTTAGGGTCACTCCTTTGCAGTGACTATTTAAGAGAAGCAAAATGGGTCTTCTTAGCTGCCCAGTTTTTCAGTGGTGCACTGCTTACTCTTGGAACATTTTGGGATTACTGTGTGCAAAAAAAAAAATTCCATTTAAAACTGTTAGTTGGGGCCTTGTTTCAACAAATATAGTAATTAACATTAAGGACAAATTTAAGTTCAAGTATACTTTGCTGATTGAGGATTTAAGTGCAGAAATAGGGCCTCAGTCATAGCAGCTGCTGATCAGTTATCACTAAGGTGAATATGTATACTCTTTACTAAACATGACAGAACAAAACCAAACCCAAAACAACAACAAAAACCAGCACCAAGTAACCACCAAACAGCAACAACAAAACAAACCAGGTAGAAACTCTAAGGTACTGTGACAGGAAAAGTAGGCATGGGCTTAAACTCAATTCTCAGAGTTACTAGCACAGAACTTATGATTTTAGGGTTAGAGTTAGGGTTAGGATTAGGGTTTGGTTTGCACCAGTTACAGGAGGAAGTGTTCTGAAGTTGGACTTCTTAGCACAGGTACTGATTTTTGGCTTTTAGAACAATTTCTTGGAATTCTTTTCAGTAAGCAACTCCAAAATAACTGATTTAAATACTATCTATAGAGGATATGATCAGTGTGTTTTACCTTTGATCTTCCTGATGGGTACAGTATCTTGACTGTGTTAGTGTGCCCCAGTAAAATACAGGACTACAGAAAGGCTATGCACAGTTTGCTTGCAGTGTAGAGAAAATTGATATCAACTGAAGCACCTCCAGATCCATGCATTTTAGAATTCTTTATAGTTTAAACTCACAAGTATAATAAATATTGAATTGAAAGAAAAGTAGTAGTAGTAGAGTAGCTATTCAAGGAAACTGCTACATGATCAGCTCATGCTAATTTGGAGAACCACAATTAAGTTAGGCAAACAATCAGAGCAGTCGGATTAACAACTCAAAATTCAACAAATTGCCCTAACTAGATTTTTCTTCCTTTTTTTCCTCCACTGTTTCTTTCTTTTTCCTTCTTTTGAAGTTACCCTACTTACTTGCTTTCGTTGCGTTTCCTACATCCTCTAATACCTTTGTTAAAGAACACTGCAGTGCTTTGCTTTTTGTCCTGACACTCTGGAGAACTCTGCAATATGTTTTTATTTCACTCACAGTGTGACTGATTTGCACCTTACTTCTCAAGGGTGAAGAGAGAGGACAGGCAGGGGTTTGGGTTTGTTTGCAGTTCTGTAGACATACTGCAGCCCCCTTCTTTCTTGCTCACCCTTCATCTCCACCAACACTTAAAAAATTGTTCCTATTCACACTCCGCGCTCGCACACGCTAGGAGGAATTACAGGCGCAGTGCTTGAGGTTGCCCTGACAACTTCAAGGCATCCCTGTGCGTGGGGACCAGCAGCCCAGCAGAGTTTCCCAGGCCCCTTGGGGAAGGGGAAGGAGGAAAAGAGAGGAGGCTGCAGGGTGCGAGAGCCAGCAGCCATGGGGAGGGGAGCGGCAGTAGGATGAAAGGGGCACATACATCTCCAGTGACACAATGGGAGTTTTTCTGGCTGGCTATGAAAGGACACACTGAGGATACAATGGTCTGTGACACATGAAAGCTTTGGAGCAAACTTTATTGCTTCTCCATTAAGAACCCTTCCAGAGACCCATTCAGCTCTAAGAAATCTTGTCAACGTGTTAAAATATAAAGAAAACAAAAACCTTCATTTTCTCATGTTCCAAAACAGATTTTCAATATTTTTTTAGATGTTGATGTCCTGGAAGCTTTTGAAGTTTTAGCCCTGGCAGGTACTGGGTGTTCCTCTTCAGGTTCCTGTTAACCCCAGTCTGAGGGAAAGCTGCCCAGCAGCACCCCAGTAAGGGTTCTCTGAGACAAGAGCTTGCTTCCTCCTCATATAGCTTTTGTTCACACGTGCGCCTGCCATCCCTCTGCTGTGAATGCTTCCTGCTATACATGCCATCAGCAGTTAGAGCCCAAGAAGAGAGGAATTACTGTCCCCTACTTTCAAGCTGAGAAGTCATTTATATGATAAGCAACAGCAGAAATGAGACTAAGCAACCTAAAATAAGGGGCCATGTAGTCACAGCCAGAGTGCATAGTAGGAAGCCAAGATGGAAAGCAGCTTACAAAGGAAAGAGCACGACTCTTGCTCCCTGACATATCAGGTTCACATGGTTCACCACTTGATCCCAGAATGTGTCCAAGAAAGAAACAGGATCACAAGCACTAATCCTTCAACACGGTGCTCTTTAGTGTTAAGATACGACCTAGATTGACTCCTAGTGATCTGGGGGGTTTAGGACATTTAGACTAGAATCCAGTGTGGAATACAAAGATTAGAACTGGTTAAAGCGATAGGCTTTGGGAACCCTGCAGGCTGACAGCGCTCAGCATCTGGTCCTGAATACTATTTGGCAAAAGCAGGATATTGAAAACTGATAGAATCTGAGCATTTCCAAATCATCTTACCAAACTATATAAATTAAGTTCTTTTTTTTTTTTTTAAGATGTAATCCAGCTTTAAAGCTGATCTTGGCTAAACAAAAAGAATATACGGCCCCTTGCTGATACTTTAAAGATAGCAAGTAAAAACATAGAATAGCAATTTAAGCATGTAAAAATAAAGTTGGCTGAACTAGTATGCATGCATTAATTTTTCACTTTTTAAATTATACTTCTTTTCAAGATACATAAGGATACTTCAAAAATAAATTTTCTAACAGATGCTAGCTGACATAAATTTTGTGCAGCTTAGTAGCAGAAAGATAGAAAGACTCTAGTAATTATTAACTGTATTTTCTGATTGCTGTTAACTAGTTAATTATACCTGCATTTTCTTGCATTTGCATTATTTTGAGGACTCAGGAAAAACAGCAACACTCCATCCACCCATCAATAAGCCTAGCTATAGAATTTACTTCTTGCTCACAAAAATAAGAGGACTATCTCTGAGCAGCATTTGACATTTTCCTCACCAAATTTCAAAGCTTACAAATGTAAACTTCCACAAATACTATCATCCTGTTTTGCTAATGGGGAAGCTGAGCAGAGAAATAAAGGACTGAGGGCTTCAGAAGCCGGATTTCTGCTTTCAATTTCTTACTGTGTTCGTAACATTTCAGTCTTCTACTTGACTGTCAATGGGAGATATAAATCAAGCAATTATGTGTGCAAATCATTTTGTCGATATGAATCTTACTGGGCATAATGGCTTCTACTATTACAGGGCAAGTCCTGGCTGAAATGAAAAGGAATGAAACGTGATCAGTTTTATAGTCTGAAGATTTGATCAGAGCCTATAATGCAACCTTAATCTCATTTAAAACAGTGACTCTCGGAAGGGATCTCACTGTAACTCTGGTAGCATGTATTTCCTCATTTAAAAGGTATAGAGAAGTAATATAATATATCTAGTGATGTTATGAGAAAATGTTTGGTTTTGCTAGTTATATTCAAACAGTCCTTTTGTCTTTTTAAATGTTTTCTCCTCTTATATAGGTAACTTACATTGTATTCTGAATGTTCAAGAATGACACCTAAATCTGCAGGTGGACAGTCAGCAAAATTTGAATCCGATAGTGCTTTATAGGAGTCTATTGAAGAAGATTCTTTCATAATGTCTTTCTTCATCCTGCAGTTTGAAAGCATTATCCCAACAAGAAGCATTAGTACTGTTGTGGAACAGGTGGTGTAATCATGCAGATGGAGTTTGGGAAAGTTACTTACTGACTGCTTGAAATTTTAAAAAGAAAGTACCAAGGAACATTTTAGGGACAAAAAACAGTACCTGCACCCATTTGGAAAGAGAAAGAGCTTTTCCATTTCTGACGATGCTCATGAGACACTCCTCAGAGGTTGCGAGCGGATTCGTTTAACAACCACAGTGCAGCCCTGTTGGTGCAATCTGGAGAACAAATACTTCTGCAGATGCCATACTGAGCACCCTAGTATTGACTATAGATCAGACACATTAAGACCAGCCAAGAATTAGGATTAATGTCACAAGTTTTGAAAAGCTTATAAAGGACTCTAACTGCTTATTCATAAAATAGTGAGGATTTTCTGAAGCAAGCTAACAGCATTCAATCTATTTTAAATTCCCATGGCTTGGAACAGAGGTAAACTCAGGTCATTCACTAACAATTGAAGAAAACTCACATTAGTTGTAGCAACATTATCAACATCTCTTGAGAGTACTGTTTTATTTCTTACCATTACAAATTAGGTGCAGAACATTTCTAACGCACATTTTTCAAATTATGGTCACTACACTGATGAAAATTTAAGTATTGGCTCACTGGAATAAGGGAGTGCCATTCTGCTTCACACAAATACTACTTACCTTCAACAGGTGATAAGAAAGCACATAAAACTGTAACTCTTATGATAGAAAATGTGATAGCAAGCATTAGGTATGGGAAATGAAAACATTGGTAGTATGAGCTGCAAAAAAAAGGCCAGCTTATATTGGACAGCTTTCTTTGTACTGGTCCACAAAACTGTTCCCACAAACCTATTTGATTATGCTGACCTTATAGTCATTACTTATGAGCTGAATGTTCTTGTGCTTAAATTTACTAGGAATTGCTGCCCTGGACAGTAAAGCATCAGGAAAGATGGGAGTCCGAGCAGTAGTCTACTACATGAGTACTACAATCATTGCTGTACTGATTGGTATAATCATTGTGGTCATCATCCACCCCGGGAAAGGTACAAAAGAAAACATGCACAGAGAAGGCAAAATTGTGCAAGTGACAGCAGCAGATGCCTTTCTTGATTTAATCAGGTATGGCTATGATATTGCATATTTTCTGTACCAATGACAACAGGGATATCTGTATTCACAGGAGATGTATTGTGAATACATTTAGACAGTGACTGTATAAACTAGCTACATTTCTTTCAGCTATGCAATACCGATATCTCTAACACTTACAATGCTACAATGCATATTTCTATATTCTAATCAGGCTGTTGCAAGGGAAGAAGCTGCTTCTAATACTCAAAGAAAGAAAGATTCTTTCACATACAAAATACAGATTTCTGTTCTGCTATCTGCATGGGTCTTTTCTCCTCCTTCCATAGCACAATCCTTATTACCAAATTCCTCTGCTTTCTTTACTTCCAACTTTCAAGAATTTTCACATTTCACTTCAAGCCCTGATTTAGCTATTCTTCCATGCCAATCTGGGTTTGTCTACTCAACCTTTTTAAATTGTATGGATGGGAAATAAATTCCAGGATCACGCAAAATGAATGCTTGAAATAGAGGGGCACAAATACAAAATTTTGTTTTCTCCTTGCTCAGAGACTCTGCAATACCTCTTTTCTAGAGTTAATATGTCATAGATGTATTCCAAGGAGTAGGGAAACTGAGGTTTTGAACTCAGGAGCTTTTCCACAGGTAAAGCCATCAAAATTTTGTGTTCCACTAACCCATTTGGAGAAGCCAGAGACATGGAGAAAGGCCTCCAAGAGTCATGCTGCCAGGAAGGGGGACTTCAGAAAGATCCATGAAGAGGTTTGCACTCAGATTCCTCAAGATTTACTCAGTTACGCTGACTCTAATCCCCTCAGAAATATCACCATTTTGAAAAGGAAATAAACAACCTCCCACGTGTAACAACCATGTAAACACATATACTGTTATATGTGTCTGTGTTATTATTAAAGAATGCTTCGACTTCAGAGATATTTATTTTTTTAATCATAAGGCACTAAATTGAGTTATGAAAGTCATTATTTACAAGGCTATGTGACTGCAAATGTTTTTGGGAAACAGAAATGCATTATTAATAATTTCTTTATTAATCTAGGTTCAAAATAAATAAATGTAAACTTAAAAGTTGGTACCAATACATAGAGCTTTGTTCATGTGACAAATTAGCTCATTTTCTGCTTCATTGCAAGACCTGCTATGCAGTATTGGATCCAAAAATTATAACTGACATGATCTATCCAACCCTACTGCATTTTGTCCTGATAAAGCTAACCAGGCCAATTCTGTATGCAAAGCTCTATTGTTGTATGTAACTATGCACAAATATATATCCATCTTAGGGTTCCTTTGAAAATTATTTGGTCAACTATTTAATTGGCTGTGCCACTACTTAAGATGTTATTAGAGTCATATTATTTCTCATATAGTTTTCTTTCTCTTTCACAGAAATATGTTCCCTCCAAATTTGGTGGAAGCTTGCTTTAAACAGGTATGTACGTTGTTTCCAGATCATATTAAATCTGAAGATATGGGGATATGAAAACTCTTCAGAGACTGGAAGATGCTAAAAAATGGAAAATGTGCATAGGTTAGAAACTGAGGCAACAGTTTTTTTGAATATCAATAATAGAATTAAACAAGGGGACCTTCCATTACCTGTGATAGGAATGCATAGGAATGTTCTTACTTCATTGCTTCCCAAACTCCTCCCTCATTAGCCTAACAAAGTCCTAACATAAAGTATTCTGCAGAGAAAGTAATAGTAACTGGTTACATACCTCTTCTAAAAACAAGACATCATGGATACAGTGAAATTTTTAATGTGCCTTGTTGTAACTTAATTACTTCACACAGAATCCATAAGCAATCTCTAACTGACAATTTACCAATTGTTACTGTAGCAACCAAATAGGCTGGAATGTGGAAGTAAAAAAGCAAGAGTACAAAGTAAAAGCTGAGAAGACGAGTTGAGTTACAGCAGGAGAGAATTTAAAATAAACAGTGACATTTTCTTTAGTCACACCATGACCACTGAAGAGCACTGACTTTCTACATTAAAGATTTGTTTAAGATTAAAGATAAACTAGACACAGGTCCAAAACCAACAAATACTATCCTGTTGTTTTTAACAGATTATGATGAACTCAGAATACTGATGCAAAAGGGCAGTGTGGAAATGGAAAAACCTAAGCTAAACTAGGAAATAATTCAAAGAACTTTATGCAATTAAGTCAGGAAATGACATCATTTTCATCTCAAAATAATGAAAAAGTTAGGGCTTAAAGTTACATAGCTGGTTGCAAGTATTTTTAATAAGTCTGTCAAGTTGGGAAGTTATTACCTGTAACGGGTGAAAGCAATCATCTGCCTGTTGAACTGCAATTTCAAAAAGATTTGGGAGTAGGTTTTAAGTAGCTAATAATTATTAGCTTGATCTTGTTCTGCTGAAGGCTACAAGTACATTGATGGAAGGAGAAAATTTTTAATAACAAACAACAACAACAACAACAACAAAAGTAAAGAGTAACAAAAGTGTCTGAAAAATGGATCAAACCAGAATTACTTATAGCCTCCCATTCTAATTGTGCTGATTTTGTATTTTTATTTTCTTTTAATGTGTGTGTGTGTGTGTGTGTGTCAGAGATGTGCAATGGTTTATTGGACTTCTGTGAAACAGAGTTTTTAGTATTGTATGGGAAGTGAAGAAGTTGAGCAGATATTTTTATTTGGTTATTTTAAGAACTATAAAGCTTGGGGTGAGGAGGACCCTCTGGAGATAGCTTATACAAGGTGCTGAACTGAGATATAGGGTGCATATCAACAGGTGTTTTTATGAACAACATTGCCACAGGAAATACACTGTAAAATTTACAAATTACGTAAAAGCTGTTTTGAGTTAATTAACAAATGCCTAAGAAGGTGGTATGGCTCAGCACGCTGTACACCTAGAGGAAGTATATGCATAATAATGAGTAAATTTACTCTTTCAAAAGTTGACATTGGAATTACTATGACTGAATATAAACTGGGAGTTAGTATAAGGTTTTTTAACTAGAAGGTTTTTCATGGTGAAGTCTTGAAAAAATCTTCAGTTAATGGGAATGAAATAGCTCATCTGTTTTTAATGAAGATTCCTACCACAACAGGAAATTCAACTCAGTGCATAGCAGTCCTAAATCTAAGCTGTTAATTAAAGATGTCCTGTAGATTCTGTTTCTATTACACATCCCCATTTCTCACATGCTTCACAGCTGAAAGGATTTTCCCAATAACAGTTCAATGAATAGGAAATGTTTAATGAAAGTTTTTTCTGACTTTCATCAGCAGATCTCATTGGAATATACACTCCACATTTAAATCAGATCTTTTGATGTATGACGTTCACACATTGTGTCTTATAGCATCCTCCAACATGTTTCTTTCCTGACAGAGATCTGCACTGAAATGCAGTGGAAGGATTTTCCTTCTTTCTCATTATTACCACCATATACAACCTCTAATGACTGTTAAGACTCACAGCAAATTTTGGACACTACATACCATATCAATAGCAAGTATATTCCAAGCCAGTTCCACTAATGCACCAAAGATGTTATCTCTATAGACCAAACATTATTCAAATCTTTAACATAGAAACTTTTACTTTCCTTTGCATAATTCATTTTAGTGAAAAAAATTGGTCTTTTAAATGTGGAATACATTTTATGCATAATGAGAATTGTTATTGAGGAGTAGCCAAGATGGAGAGGGCTTCTAGATGCAACTAGGACAGCTTTTGTGACATTGCTGGTGATAGAAGAAACTGGAAGAGTAGGACCTCAGGGCTCAATTAGAAAGTATCTTGATGGATTTTCTATGCTGCTTCCCAGTTAGTCTTCTTGTCCTTTGACTTCCTTTTACTGTATTTTCACAACAAACCTGTGAAGCAAACAAAACTGCCTCCACTTGTTTCTCCACCTCTTGCACTTCTTCCTCCTCTTCCTCCTCCTCTCCTGAAAATGTTCATTCCAGGAAACAGGAAGAATAGCTAAGGAAATCCTTGTTCAGACTGTTCAGCTGGGACAGTCTGAACAAGGATTTCCTTAGCTATTCTTCCTGTTTCAGGAAGGAATCACAAGATCCATTTCAGGCCTAGCTGATGCTGTTCATCACCGCACAGCAGGAGGGGCTCAGGGCACATCTTTTCCTAGCACGTCTCATTAAGAATAATAACTTGGAAAATGACAGGCTTTGGGTTCATTTTATTCTTCACAAGTTAACCTCTTTCTGCTCATGAAAGATCTGTTTGCACCGTGTCTCTACCCATACCCACTCCAAGTAACTAAGTGGCAGGTAGGGATCACGGGAAACAGCAGAATATTAAAGCCTACACTGGCTATTTCCATACAACATATGATGCTACTTTTTCTATGTGCAGCTTTTTTCAGCAACGACAATCTAAAAAGACTGATGGCAATATTCCACGCTTGTCTAAAATTAGATAATTTTGTTTAAAATATTCTCTATAGTCCAGTATTCACTCCCAATTTGGGGATATGCAAAGAAACCTTGAGATTCATCTTTCATCTCTGACTACAGCTTTTCATTTCTCTTACCATGCTAAATTCAAAGTTGCTATCTATTACTTGTATGAAGCCTGCTTCATGGGCAGAAAGTGCTTTCTATCCGACTACTCTTTGTGCTGTGCTCTAGGGATATATCAAAAGACAAAAGAAACAAAGAGTGAACGTGGGACATCAGGAGAAACAGAATCAGTCTAATAATTTTGGGGAGGAAGTCATTGTGTTGTGAATAGGTGGAATTTGATGCCAGCTGAAGCTTAAAGTTCTGGAAAGGTATCTGATAATTGCATTTCATCTGAGCTGTTTTTAATTAATGTTCTTTCCAGAACTCATTCTTATCAAGGGGATTGGAAGTGTTAATTACACTTTAAGACAAGACTACTAATACTGTCTATTCCTCATGATAGTATTAGCTGTTTGAGATGCATTTTAACCTGTGACATCAACTCTTCTGCAGAAAATCTCAAACGGTTTCACACATGTCCATAAGGACAGGAAAAAATGAATCAGGAAGACAGGGTATATTTCAGTCTTATTCTCATTTATCTCTATTTAGCCTTGCATTTAAGGGCTAGCAAACCTATTTTCTTCCAAAATCATCACTCACTAAAAACTAGTCACCACATTGACCTAGAACAGATAACACTAATTGTCATAGTACTGATAGTAAACCATGAGTTTTCAGAGCATTTACCAATGCAATTACATTTTTCACAAGCTAAATGGTAGCATGTGCTACTTCCATGGAATATACTGTTGCTTCTTAAGGTCATGCAATGAATTCAAATGAGATATCTATGAGTATCTTGTACCCCTAGTGAAAAAAAAAAAAAAAAAAAAAAAAAAAAGTTAAAGTGCAAACATTCATTTATGCAGTTCATTATATTATAATGAGTAATTAAATCTATTGCCTATTTCATAATGAGATAGCTTAATTTAAAATAATTCTAAAGCACTATACTGTCTTGCAACTAATTCCAGAAACTACATTATATAATTTTCTTGCATATAAAGTTGTTAGTAGGCTATTAGTATTATTGTGTATCAGATAGAATTTTCCTTGCTACCTGTTTGCTTTCTGTACGTGAACTAAGGGACAAAGTATGACTATTTTGAATCTAAAATCTTATCAGGCAAAACTTTTTTTGCCTAGTGACACTGTATAGAAGACTCTTCAAAATGACAGGACCACAGTGAGGTTGTTTAGTCTATCACAGATTATCAGTGTAGGTGTTCAGACTCCTAGTAAAACACAGCCAACTCTCCTGAAAATCCTAAGCGTATCTGTAGGTTTTATAGGAGCAGTTCTTCTTTATCTATTTTCTTCCAGTACTAAATAATACAAAAGAATGAGAAGTGTAGTGTGATATTAAAATGTCAGAATGGCCAGGGTTGGAAGGAACCTCAAGGATCATGAATCTCCAACCCCCCCTGCCACATGCAGGGCCACCAACCTCCACATTTAATACTAGACCAAGCTGCCCAGGGCCCCATCCAACCTGGCACTTCCAAGAACGAGGCGTCCACAAACACTTCCAGGGATGGGGCATCAGTTTGAGGTACATGCTTTTACTTAGATTTTCAAAGACAGCTGATAAACCTTATCCCAGCAAGATTCAGTAAAGATCTGCCCGAAAATATAAATTTCATAAAAACTCAGGAAATGATCTCTATCAATAGTTTCTCTGCAAAGCAATGATACTCTCAGATATTGCCTTATCTAATTCACAATCTTTGATATTTTCTATCCTTTTTAAAATATTCTTTTGTCCTGTTGCTTTCTACAAACTGTTGGCTTTTTCACCATTTCACATTGAGATTTTTTATTCCTTTTATATATTTTTTTTTCAGTGCTGGTTAAGCAATCTTCTACTTGGCTTTCAGCATCATCTGAAAAAAGTACTAAAAAGAATAAACTTCAACCCATACTTTTTCCTTTGCAGTTACTGTATTTAGTTTTCCCTAATTTCCTTTGCTTCACCAGGAAGTTTCTCACGATTTTTTGATAGACAGCTTTGTGCACAGTAAAACAGACACATCAGTGAATTTATCCATAACCTCATTTATCACTAATGAATGAAAGGCCAACACAAGTGACTGTTTTAGAACAAATAAAGGTTGCTCTCTGAGTCGTGTGCTCAAATTCCCATTTTGAATTCAACTCTAAAAAAGCTTTTTTCACTGCCCTCCACCCTGGGAAGAATTCTAGAAAGACTGCTCTCCCTAGGGTAAAGCCAACATTTCTGAATACTTCATTTTTACCAACACTGAGTCAACAGAAAAGATCAACAGCTATGTGTACCAGTAGTACACAGAGTACATAGTAGCAGCAGAAAAGGGAAGACCTTGCTGAGAGAAGTTCTAAAATCTGTATAATAGCCCAATACAATGGGCACCTTCCCATTTGGACAGAATTCCAGAAGGAGCAAAAAGAAGGAAGAAAAAAAAAAAAAGAGAGAGAAAAAAGAGAGAGAGAGAGAGAAAGGAAAAGGAAAAGGAAAAGGAAAAGGAAAAGGAAAAGGAAAAGGAAAAGGAAAAGGAAAAGGAAAAGAAATAATTACTGTAACCTAAGATGATTTCTAACTGCCTTTCCAAAGAGGTCAGAAACTTCATGTGATTGTGCTTTCTCCTCCATTGATAAACTCTTTCTCAGTTCCCCCTTATAACATTGGAACCCAGTATCTCCAGTGTAATTGACACAGGAGTAGATGTCTTACATAAACAAAAATTGTGTTACTGATGAAATAAAAGCAGTTTATGGCTTGGTACATAACCTGTTGCAACAGGCAGCAGACAGCACGCATCTAACACTGTCTAGCAGCCCTACTATGTGTTGCTTTTGACTTACTCAAATAGGCAAGAATAAGAAAAGAACCTGGGGATAATTTAGGAGAATCAAGGAGAAGTCAGTAATTGTGTACCTAGGGAGAACGAGAAATAAAAGAAAATTCAGTAGAAAATTAGCCTTTAACTTCAGTCCTCATTAAGAGATTACTTTTTTATGTTTGTCTAATCTGCATGTCTGTCCAGCATAATTAGACCCTTCAGATGTCTGAAATAAGAAATGTCTACCTATTTTTGTTTTATTATATATAATAGCTAAGAGAAATAAAAATATTTGTATTACGAAGCCATCAAAATCCCCATTAAACCTTAAAAAAAATAACAGTTAGAACTATTTCATGTACAACTTTGGACAACAGTCCCAACTTCAGTGTTGCTCAACTTGTGGAATTCAATTTCTTGACTTGATTCACTTGATTCACCTCCACAACCTATACAAAAAAAAAAAAAAAAAAAAAAAAAAAAAAAAAAAAAAGGAATCACGTCCAAAGGAATAAAAATCCAAAGACACTGAATAGTCTTGACACCTGTATCCCATTACTTTAATATGATATTTAGTATCTCAAGATAAACTAGAAATATTTCATGAGTTTTATTTAGTATTTCTTGTGCTCAAAAGAATTTAATAAGGATAGGGCTGAGGGTTTTTTTTGAAGGCTGAAACAAATATTCAGGGTACATACACATTTCATTTTGGAAAAGTAGTAGGTGGTGGAAGACTGGTTGTAGAGATTTAGTTTAATTAGAGATTTTAGTTTAAGTTAGAGATAATTTAGATTATAATAATTTAGATAATTTAGATAATTTAATTAGAGATTTAGTTTAATTTAGAGATTTTTAAACTGATTTCCCCATTCACTAGAGGAACTATTTAAATTAGAAACTTCTAAATAAACAAAAATGGTGCCTTTTTATTGCATAGTAGAGAAAACTAATGGCTTTTTTCATAGCAAATTTCTAATTTCAGGTTAAAGAATTAGGAAGAGTAGGTATGTTATATTTAGACTACTTTGTCTATTTTTTACTCATTCAAAAACAGTTGGAAATATGTTTTTGGGAATAATAATTATTTATAAAAAGGCAAATTAAATATCAGTAGATTTATGATAAATTCACAAGCGTGACAAGTGTCTTCAATTTCAAATTGTGGGAGAACAAGTCCTTAAATCCAAAGGGTGGAGATTTAGCTCTTGAGGTCAATATGTGTTTATATTGCTTTCAGGAAAGCCTGTTTTCGTCACAGCTTACTTTATCAACAAGTATTACACAGAAATTCATGTGTTCTACAATGGAATTTAATAATTTAATGATATGTGATTTTTACCACTGTTTGAACAATTCACATGATTTCCACCTTTCTGTTCTTCTCGTTTTACCAGTTCAAAACTAACTACGAAAAGAGAATGTTTAAAGTAGATATCCCATCCAATGACACATCCACAGTGGCTTCCATAATAAGTAATGTATCAGCAGCAATGGAAACCCTCACACAAATGAAAGAGGAAATGGTTCCTGTTCCAGGTTCTGTAAATGGAGTGAATGCCCTTGGCTTGGTGGTTTTCTCAATAAGCTTTGGCCTGGTGATTGGAAGCATGAAGGAGCAAGGTCAGGCTTTAAAAGACTTCTTTGATAGCCTTAATGAGGCTATCATGAGACTGGTAGCTCTAATCATGTGGTAAGTGCCTCTGATAAATTATGTATTAAGTTACTAACTTTATTCTTTCACTATGGTAGATAGAGTCTGTTTGGCAGAAAGTGGTACAATATGAACTTAACTGAATTGTACCTTTGTTAATGAATCCCTAAGTTGTAGTTCTGTATATTTAGTCTTACAGTGCGTTTGGCTTTTTACCCTGAGAAGAATCAGGATCTTTGGCACAATATACCAAGCTTAGTACTCATTCTATGTCTTCATAATGCGAGAAGCCAAAATAACATGCTATCAAAATTTCCCTATCATCTACTCAGACTTCACTAGAGGAAACCGGCAAACATCTCTTATAATCTTATTTCTACACAACAAGACCTTGCTACCATTAGTTTCCTAAATAAGTAGATCCTGCAGTTATGTAGTATGTAAATATGTCCTTGCATTGTAGCTGCACAAAGATATACATATTTTTTGCTTCATTTCCTGTGTTCAATAGATAATTGAAACCTATACATTTTCCTTCAAACACATAGAAATCCTTTTCAAAAATGAAATCTTATTTTCTGTCATGTAGAAGGTTGATTTTGAAAAAAAGGCTGAAATATCTTGTTGCCTTCTTCACAATCCCCAAAACCTCAAAACCTACACATACTTCTGTAGTACTAACTGCAAAACTAAAAGTGAGTATATTGTAAAATTCTTCTAATCCAGAAAACATCTGTGCAAATCAAAATTCTTTTCTCGTTATTTATAAGCACACTTAAGATACCAAAGCAAAGGATAGAAAATGTTACTTCTACACTTCAACATGGATTTTATGTTTCAAAGTGCGATTAAGATATTCTAGAAAATGATATTCACTGATAAATTAGTGTAATAAGACAAATGGGCATTTATGGAAGTGGAAATAGGGCTGTACCAAAAGTTCTGCTGTAATAATAGAACTATGTTTCTGTAGATCTGTAGAGTTTTGTGCTGAGTGCTAACTCCTTTATTTGTAGCTGTGCTTACTGATAGGAAGTAATATATATGACCACTCATGTTGCTACCCCACAGTGCCATGACCTCTGCCGTACAGACAGATTCACGCTAAAGTATTTATGGAGTGCTCCACTAGGAATGGACAGAAGCATCTTGAAATCATTGGAAGAGTGAGTTCTTCCTCTGCAACATAAGAAACAACAGTGGAGAGAGAGTGGAGATGGGCACTTGGCATAATCTCTAACTGTGTTGAATGAGACTTCATTCTAACAGGCAGAATTTTAACAGAATTTGATAAACCAGCTTTTAAATGATAATTGAATTATGAAGGAAGCTCATCTCTCTACATATGAAAGCCTATTGCTGGAAAATTTTGAGCTGAAACCGTTCTTCTAATGATTCTTCCTTTCCACTGTGGCGTCAGTCACGTGTCTGGCCAATCCAATTTTCCTAAGTGATTTACATGCATTTTTAAGTTATTCTTCAACACTTTATGTCTGAAAGGCATACTGTGCTCCTCTCACATTTGTCTTACCAGATTCTGAATCTAGCAGAGCCTATCAAAAATGTTCACACTGAGGTTTCATCCAAGTTGAACTCTTAATAGTCCAACAGTTAAACTCTAGAACTGATTCTGAATTACAGTCATCCAATTAGTAATATCCTACCTTCATGCACATATACAAACATGTAAAAGATGTGAACAGGGGAATGTTTTATATTGTTCATTACTATACTAATTTGATTTCTTATTTGCAGGTATGCTCCACTTGGAATCCTCTTTTTGATTGCTGGAAAAATTGTTGAGATGGAAGATATGGGTGTGATTGGTGGTCAGCTTGCCATGTATACTGTAACAGTTATAATTGGTTTGCTTATTCATGCTGTCATAGTCCTACCTCTTCTGTACTTCCTAATCACTCGTAAGAACCCTTGGGTATTTATTGGAGGCCTAATCCAGGCACTAGTCACAGCTTTGGGAACATCTTCCAGGTATAAAACAATATTTTATGGCCAAGTATATATTTTTTAATATTATTGTTTTAAGAAACACTTTCGCCTAATGCAACCGGTTGACTTCACTCTGAGAGATCCTTATTATCATTATATTGACTCAGACTCTTATTTTTATTAAGAACTCCTGAACAGATATGAAATTGATGTGTTTGGTGATGCAGACTGTACGCTGGACCCTTTGTGACATTGGTTAGCCTATGTCTTTGAGTTCTGTAGGTAGTTTTTAATTGTTGGTAAAGGACAAAGCTGACAAAAGAAATCTTATGCATATCAAAACAGAGAAGCAAGAATGAAGGCTCAGAGGCATTTGTGAGAGAGCTCAAGAGTCTTGGCAGGTGATGTTCTATTCTAAAGATCCTGGACCTGCAAGAGAAAGGCCCCTTTGACATTGTTCCATGTCAAAGGGACTTCACGTGAACAAATATCTCTTTCCATCTGTGATGAAAGAAAATGTTGTTGAAATCAAATATGTATTTCCTAAACCGTATCCAGATGATAAGCTATTATGACTATTAGAAAAAAATCTTAGTAAATTTTGTATTGCTTTTGATGCTCTTGAGGACTTAGAAAGGACTGTGTCATCATAGTTTCAGTTAAAGAAAGACAACTACTGTTGAAACTGACTCTTCCTTAATCGGCATCTTGATGTCAGTCCTTGCAATGTATGGAATGTTTAAAAGGGAATTTTCTTAATGATTTTAAAAGGAAGATAGTGCAACTAAAGACAATCAACATAGTTCAAGAGAAAGCAGTGGCAATTAAAACAAATATCTAATTTTATCAAAACTTAACTTTGGTGGGTAAGAGTAATAATGTTAAAAAGTGTATTTTCCCATTTTAGCTGCTTGAGATTCTTAGCAGGAACCTAACCAACCTACAGTTGCTGGACTAAGACAGCATAATGCAAGTAGATTTAAAAACTATTCAAAATTCAATTGTACGTTGACTGTCATCAAAGGGATTTTCTAGCACAGTCTTTACTGCCCTTCTTCACACTTTATCAGTATTTTTATTTCATCAGTATTGATGAAGTTTTCCAAGTCTGTGAAGAAGTTAGCAATGAAGAGGTCATCCAAACACAGTAACCTGGATTGCTGAAAAACCCCTTCAGTGTAATCAGATGAGAGATTGGAGAGATGCGTCTTTAAGAACAGAGAGCCAAGTCCACTCTTACAAAACAGTCAACTAGTCCCAGAGGATCAGGAGAACCTCCAATATTGTATATGCCTTGGCAGATATATATATATAATATTCTGGTAGATCACAAAAAGTTAAGACAATTAGAGAAATCTTTCATGTCATTGCAGTGAATGACAGTTTGCGTTCCACTATGTAAAACTCATATCATGCATTATCTTCTTTTTGTTTCAGTTCTGCAACACTGCCTGTTACATTTAAGTGTCTAGAAGAAATAAATGGAGTGGACAAACGAGTTACAAGATTTGTACTGCCAGTTGGTGCTACAATTAATATGGATGGTACTGCCTTATATGAGGCTTTGGCTGCAATTTTCATTGCACAGGTTAACAACTTTGATCTGAACTTTGGGCAGATTATCACAATCAGGTACAGAAAGTCATTATTACTACATCTAATCAAAGCACCTTTGTGATGATTCCTTGCCATTAAATGAGGGATTAAACAAAAAACATCTAGAGCTAAAAACAAGAACTACTAAAGTAGCTGAATAACTGTAATGATTTACACCTTCTGCCCAGAAAAGGCCCCCAGCATACTCTTCATTAGGTAAACATTTGAAAAACTGGTGCGTGACATACATATCACTGCACTTAGTAGGGTCCACAAGAAGTTTTAAATTTCTTTTTTTATTAAAATGTTCTTGAAGTATACACACAGATGTTGGGATCTGCTAAGGATAGCAGGGTGGTATTCTCCTAGTCTTGGTCTCAAGTAGAGCAATCTGTGTAAGGAGAAGCAGTACATTTTGTTAAATCAGCTGATAGAGGTGGAGAAAATGAGTATGTTTTAAAGCAACAAGCCTTCATATTTGAAATATAACAGAAAAAAAAAAAAAAAAAAAAAAGCATAAGTAGCACTTGATAATTGACTTGCATTAATTTTATTATGTGATTAAAATGGCTTAAGAGAAAAAAGTGATGGGTACATGTGCACTATTGATATATGTCAGCAAAGGGAGAGTGGGAAAATGTGGGCAGACAAACAGGTATTTATTACTCAGCCACACTGTACATTCAGATAATGGTGACCTGGAGATTTTTAAGCAGAAGTGCTTCTCTCCATAAAGCCACCAGGTTAACTCAATATTCGTTAACAGAAGGTAAAACTCTGCCTTAACACTCCAGAACAATAATTCAACATTCATTAATACTAGAGCTGCTCCCTGACAAATCATCTGGCAAAACAAAATTCTTGCTAAACTGAATATGAACAACTTCCACAACTTTAAGATGTTTGGGGTGATGGAACTTATTTGTTCAGTGAGTTGTGGCATGTACATATAATGTTTTTGACTGTCCATAAGCACAAAGGAGGGGATTTACCATGTCACAAAATCATGTTACCAGAGTTCTGGATAAATGCACAGTGTATTCATTTTGGACTAAAATCCACATACCCCTCCAGCTATGCAGTGTGCAGATTAGGGACTGAGTTCACATTTTTCTTTACTAAAGAGCAAATGACTTTTTGCTTCGTATTTGTTTTTAATGTTTATCAGATGGTAAAGTGTTTACATTGGAAGTGAATCAATTGTTCTTGCTGTCTCTTTGCACAGCATCACAGCTACAGCTGCCAGTATTGGGGCTGCAGGCATTCCTCAAGCCGGACTGGTCACCATGGTCATTGTGCTTACATCAGTAGGTCTGCCTACGGATGATATCACTCTTATCATTGCAGTGGACTGGTTCTTGTAAGTATTTCTATGGCTGAATTAAGAACTTAGACCGTATTTGGAGGTAGCAGTAGCAGGCACAATTTGACAATACTGCAGTAGTGTGCTTTTGCTGCAGAAGTCTTGAATCACAATTTTTTGTAATTAATGTATGTATTTAAAGCAGATGGTGTAGCCTAATGATGGCTTTTCTTGTGTGCAAAAGGATGATTTATAAACCTGGATCCTTAGCATACTAAGAAAATTTTTATATACACTGTAATGCAACTAGAAAAGAATTGCTTTTGTCTTCCAACTTGTTTGTTTGTTTGTTTGTTTGTTTGTTTTGGAGGCTGTTTTCCTTCCGTCAGTCAGATGTAGAATATTGTAGCCCAGCTGGCTATTTAATCCAGGAAAGGTTAATGTCTTCCACATAGACACAGAAATGAAAAACAGTTGTTTACTTCTTATCCAGCAACCATACTGTATTGCACATCAGTTGTTCTGTTCCTTTGTCTGCAGAAGACAGTACAGCCACATCCATACGTATACAGGGAAATCTCCCAGATCCAAGAAGTAAATCACAGGCATGTTTCCTCCAATCTATTTCCTCTGACCTAGTTTCCAGAGACTTTTACCCTTCAACTCTTATCAAGTGATCCTTGCGAGAAGTTGGAGGAAACTCTGGTCAGGAGGGAAATGAAAATAAGGCAGATTTTCATTGGCTTATATGTTCAGAGTGTATAAACCCAAACAAGTATTAAAATGCTTCTGGTAAACATTTGCCATATGCTCCCTTTGTTCTCCACATCACAAGCTGTTTCTTAGTGTGGAGTTGCCAACAGTATTAACAGACTTAGTTTCCCCAAATCCTAGTATACTGCAACTTTCTGTAAAAGGAATAATGACATTAATGAATGCAATGAATATGCACTGTATACATAAAGCTGCTGAATCATCTAGTAGATAAGTAATGGCAATTTTAATATCTCGTCTGCATACCTCCCTGAACCAGTGATAAACTCAAGGCTAATTTACTATTTCTCCTTAGGGATCGTCTCCGTACCACTACCAATGTCTTGGGAGACTCCATTGGAGCAGGAATTGTTGAACACTTATCACGGCATGAGCTGAAGAACAGGGATGCTGAGATGGGAAATTCTGTGATAGAGGAGAATGAAATGAAGAAACCATACCAGCTGATCTCACAAGAAAGTGAGAGTGAGAAACCACTAGACAGTGAAACCAAGATGTAGGCATGAGTCTAACACTACAAGTGCGGAAAACACACATTTTTCCCAGCCTTTTATATCTTGAATTCACAACATTCACTTATCCTTTGTCTTTTCCCTTTATGCTAGCACTGAAAAGAATTAATGGAAATATATTCCAAAGTAGCAGTGATCGAGTGGCTTCCCACTTGAAAAATAAAAATAAAAAAAAATTAACAGACAACAACACTGGTCCTGCTAGACATGTGCTAAGTGAAGATAAAAAAAGAGAGATCAATTAAATTAAAAGGAAAAAAAACCAGTATATATGTTACTCAGTCCTTTAAATGTGATATTTTTAATGAACTGGAAAGTAACAACAGATAACAAAGCTTGAAAATGTTTTTATTCTTTAAATACCAGTTGGAAAAATTTAACATCTGTAAGCACAAAATCAGAACTTCCATCTTGATACTTGCATCCAGCTGGATGATTTTTTTCACTTTCTGTTCTTTTTTTTCTAGCATTACAACCTGGTTCAGTTACTAGACAATAAAAGGACATTAATTGAAAGAATAAAAAAGGAGGTGTATAGATATAAAAACAATTCCCACAATCAGCACTTTGTCAGCTAAGCTGAAATACTTCTGAGAAAGTGATTTTATCTAGACACTATTTTTTACGCTATCCTCAGCTAATCTTGACAAAAACTCAGCCTAGTCAGTTCCCATGGATTTGCAGACATTTGTGTATGTATATATATGTACCTCCGCACTGGATTTGACCTTTAATTTCAACTCCACAACCCAGCTGAACAATCAATGTCTGTAAATGTTTGTAGGGGCAAGGCCCTAGGCTGTACTGACTCTGGGACTGGAAATGCATCTTCTTCTACTTTTGGGGATATAAAAAAATATGCTTTAGGTACACCAATTAATCTACTTAATAAGCAATAATATAAATAGGAGGCAGTGACAGCCCTCTGCAGAGAGTGCAGAAGGGTGAGTTGTTCAGATCCTAACAGGACTGGATTCTAAATCTGAATCCTTCGGGCTAACAAGAGATCTTCTGATTGTAGAGCTCCGAAACCCTTGGTCCTCCACTGATAAGTAATAGAGCTGTTAGCCAGATTTATGTTTTTTCACATGGAGAAGAAGGCTCCCTATTTCAATGCAAAATTCCAAAACCCTTATGCATTTATGAGCAGCATCCCAAAAATAAAAAATAATCCTTTAGAAAGTAAAAGTTATGGGTGCTTTTTTACTTTTTACTAGGAAAAATACATAAATCTAATCTAAAATATAAAACAGTAAATATTACAATAAATATATTAAAAAAATAATTAGAAAGGATTTTAAAGCACAGTATTGTAGGCTTCTTTCAGGGAATCAGTAGGGAAAGAATGAAAAAAGAGAGACAATGCACTTGTAATCCTGTTGCTTTTTTTGTTCATTCCAGCATTATTCCCCAGTGAAGCCCCTTATTAGAAATATTAATTATATATATTCTCCTTTTAACTTGTATCATTGTAGAGGTTAAACTGGAAAGTTTTATAATACAGCTACAGTTAGGGGAATTAAGAAATGCTAATCAGAAGGCAGAATAATGCTGAGTGGTTGTTTTATTTAAATGATCATTTTTCTTATTTCTTCTTTGCCCAACAAAATAAAATCTGACTATACGAATGAAGGATTCCCTTGTAATCCCCTGGCAATGCCCCCCAAAATATTCAGTATGCTGCTTTTGTCTTTAAGAGAACATAAATGTGGTGTATTTCACTGTAGTGAAAATGTCAACATCCTGATTGAAGGTAAATTTTTTCCCATGTTTAGGGCAACAAGGCAAGACTGTTTTGTTTAGGACTGAAAACTCCTGCCCATCTTCTCCAGTTGATTAGTCCAGACAATAGGAGCAGGAACTCTTCAGTGATTGAAGTGAGCAGGGTTTAACTCAGAGCATTGAGTGGTCAAACCTACAAAGCTCTTAAATTAATCTCTCACTGAAAGAAATCAAGTGTGACTTTTATGTTTTTGCTAACAGAATGCAAATCTAGGATACAGATAGACATCTTCTGATATGTGTAATTAGAAATATTTTTATATAGATACTGTATTCAAAATGTGTGTATAAATTTTAACTGTAGAATGTACAGCATAACAATTTAATTTTTGTTAAGATTCTCTTTGGAAATACATTGCAAAGACATAATGTAAATGGCTGTCTTTCTATGACACCAGTTGAGAAAAATGAATTGTTTCACAAAATATGCTATCTTTTTTATACTAACTTTGTTTCTTATGGAAATCAGGTATTACAGAAAGATTCCCTTGCTCAGCCCTCATTGGTTCTGCATTGGTATGCACACAGAGTGGATTGAGAAACATTACTTTGTAGATGTATTTTCAATAAAAATAGTTTTACATTACTGCTTTTTGGGGGGATTTCTTTAAAAGACTCTCTAACCAAAGTTCTACACAAACTCAAAGCAAACAAACTCATAATATGGGACTTCAGGAATTCCAGGCCATTTTACACAGCAGGGGTTCCTCATTTCAAATGAGCTTAGAGTTCCAAGATCAAAGAAAATAGATAAGTGAAACACCACTGACAAAAGAAGGCAAGGAAATGAAGGCAGGAAGAAACATTAAAATTATAAGAAAAAATGTCCAACTGAATGAAGTTCATTCACATTTAGGTATATAAATACATCTCTGCAAAATCTTAAAAAGGTAAGCATTTATATTTTAATTGATTCAGTAACTGAAAAGTTGCCAGTTCATTTTGAATGTGTAATTACAGGGTCCAAACGCAGTAAGGTCACTGTGCCATGGGAAGCAATAGAAGTCCTTTAACGGGGGTATTACAGCACTGTAATGTTATGGTCATCCTAGACAATCCACTGTTTTTCTCACAGAAGTAGTTTGTTATGGTGTCAGGGTTCATTTGGCAACAACTTGAGCTAGCAGAGATACTATCTAATGGAAGTGAATGTCTTGTCAGAAGGAGTGGGAAGGTATGTGAACTGAATCACTTGCATTTGGAAATCTGTCTTGGTTGGAGCAGATGGAGACAGCAGGGAGAAGTCTTGCCTCCCTGAACATAGCAACAAAACTGGACAATGACCTTCACTGATTCATCTGCAGCGTATTGCGCAAAAACAATACATAAATGCAATCGGCTTTAAAAAAACAAGCAAACAAACAAAAAAGTAATGGTACTATCAAATGCGCAAGCATATTTTTTCCCCTTTTTTTTTTATGTTACCTACACATGCATTCTTTGATTCAATTCAATTAGGTATCTTTGTGTTTCTATAATTACTATCACAATGTGAAGAGCTAAAGAAAAGAGAGTTAGTGCATTACTTGGAGGTATTAGTGGCACGGTGACCTCACAGTTCTATGGCTCCACACAGAATAAAGATCTCTAGTATTCTATAATTTTTCAGTGGTGGTTTCATTTGGAAGCTGAGGTACAAAACAGGCATGCCATTCTTAGACAAGAATTTATGTCTCTGTGACAGTGTGTGGCCCATACAAAGCAAAGGGATCATGCATGTGGAAAATGAACTACTGGCACAAGGAAGTGCTTTTGCCTTCCTTTCAGAAGGACTCGTTTGCACTAGGGACATTCACGTTCCAATGCAAGCACAATTGATGACAAATTGAGGACATTGTTTTCAATCAATAATACAACATCTATTTGGTTTAATAAAGAATAAAAATGACCCAGAAGAGTATAACTTGCTTCTGACATGATCAAATGTGCTAGCTGTGCTTGTAATCAACACAGTGTCATCAACTTGCTTCTAGCATGATCAGCGGTTTCCCAGAACAGGATAAAAAATTGAGGTGAGCTGATAGATCACTCCCTGTCTGGTTTTCTGTCATTTTTTTTTATTAAGAGATTGGCTTACACTGGAAGTGTGGAGCAATAGAGAGATGGGGAGAGATGTCTACACCTCCATACCAATCTGAAAATCCAGACTTGCAACATCAGAGAGGCAGCAAAATTCTCTCTGACAGTAAAGAGAACATTAGCTGGAAGAGAACATCCTGCATGGTGAGACTTTTTCTGTCCTTTTTCTGTCCTGTTTCCTCTCTTCTGGCTCCCAGATACACAGAGTATCTAAAATGCCAAAATTTTAGAACAGGAACATTTTCATCTTTAAACAAAGTTTTTCATCAGCACGCCTCATTACACAAGTAGGGCTGCACAAATAATTGATTTTGCACTTCAGTGAGAGAACTGAAAAACATGGGAGAATAAAATTTTTCCATGGCATCATGAAACAATTTTTTTATTGCTAACTTTTTATTACAGAGAAGTCTGTTTCAGGTATAGCTAAATGTTTCATTTTCCCCTTCTTGAAACATCTCATTTTAATCTCATTTCTGGATTGAGTTTTTAAGTGAATTGTCTTTCTCAAATAAAACATTGAACAATTTTTCAAGGAAAATGTCAAAAAGAAATAGCTCAACTTTTCTACCTTTCCTCACTTTAAAGCCAGCTGTATTCACAAAAGCTGGCACAGCTTCAAAAGCACTTACCTCAACACCGTATTTTTCAGCAATATATTTTTATATGAACACTTCTTCTTTGCTCTTTACAACTTTCTTTCCCCACACATAGTATATTTTTCTGCTTTTCCTTATTGCTCAGAATTTTTTCTTCACTGTTGACAGAAAATAAGGCACAACCAGAGGAGAGCCACAAAGAATGATCCAAGGGGTGGAACATCTCTCCTTTGAGGATGGGCTGATAGAGCTGGGGTTGTTCAGTCTGTAGGAAAGAAGGCTGTGGGAAGACATGAGAGCGGCCTGTCAATATCTAAAGGGGGGCTGTAAGAAAGAAGGGGACACACTGTTTAGCAGGGCCTGTGGTGATAAAGGGAAATGGTTTCAAACTAAAGGAGGGGAGATGTAGATTAGATATAAGAAATTTTTTGCAATTAGAGTGGTGAGGCACTGAAACAGGTCACCCAGAGAGTGACTAAGTCAAAAAATGGTATGATTCCATGATTCCGTGATAGAGATTGTGGACAG